TTTAGCAGGAACACAGTTTCAGTAGAGAAGATCAGTTAATGACATATTACGCATTTTAAGCCATTAATATTTACTATTACTACTGCCAGGTAAAAAAGCTGAAAATATGATGCTACCTAGAAAAAGACATTTCAAATTTTTTGTTTGCCAGTGCCAATTTATGTAATTACCAATACCTCCTACAGTTTGCAACTGATCTAACAATGTATTACTTTGCATTTCATTTTTTAAATTGGAGATTCCATTTCAGAGGAAATGAAAAATACATATGCAAATCTTCATTCTTGATTATAATTGGTGGTGTTGAATTATGCTCTCCTGAGGTCACACAGTCCACCAGAAGGAAGAAGAAGGGATCTATCCATTAGTGGGTACCTACTATATACTTCTCCTGTTGGGTCACTTGTCTTATTTAATCCACCTTAAAAACCAACACAATTCCTGGCTTCTTTGTTTAGGAACTAACTAACAGTCTCATCCTAAATAAATCTTTGTGAGTTAAATATCAGTTTATTTTATTTTAGTTTATTTTTTGAGTTGGAATCTCACTCTGTCGCCCAGACTTGGAGTGCAGTGGCGGCTCCCAGCCACCACAGCTTCGACCCGCTGGGCTCAGGCCATCCTTCTGCCTCAGCCTTCCAAGTAGCTGGAACTACAGGAGTGCACTACCACGCCTGGTTAATTTTTGATTTATTGTAGAGATGAGGTCTCTTATGTCAAAGATTAATATGTAGTTTAACTATGTGTTAGGAATGCCCAACTAAAAGTCAGAAATCTGGCTTAGGATCTTTCAATTTAGATGCTGGTGAAATTTATTTTAAAAGGCAGAAACTGAAATTCAACCTGTGAGGCTTTTGAAAAATACTCTGATGGGACTTTTTGCTCAAAGTTTTGGTTAAATTTTAAACTTTTAGAAAACATCATACACTTCAGAAAGTTAGAACTATATTCTTTCCGAGATCTGAAAAATGCCTTTAATTTAGGACTTACTAACACGTTTTTGCCATGTTTGGATAGGAATGGCATAATGATTTTATAATTAATGGTAACTCCAGGAAGCTCATCAATTAGGTATGATCACTTCTAAGAAATAACACAAGAACATTTGCTTGAGAAGTTCCAGACATTTTGATTTTATAGAAGAGACTGGAGGAAACATTAGAGTAATACAAATATTACATGTTAAAATGATATTGGAACATCATTTTAATGAATTTTGAAGAGGATACATAGGAATCCTGTCAGATATATCACAATCAGGCATAAGGGTCTTTGGGGGGGCTTTATTTACTACAACCGTGTTTCTAGATATAATCTGATTGGTATTCAAAAAACCTATTAAACTGTAATAAAAAAATCTTTTTATTAGAGGGTCACATTTTTAGTTGGAATGTAAAGAAATTAAAGTAATTAGCAAGAGATTAATAATGAAGGAATGGAATTGAAAGGACAGATGTAGCTTTTCTTCTGAAGAATTATTGCTAAGAATGGATGCATTTTAATTAAAATACATCTAAAATTTACAAAGTCAGAGGACTCTTAATATGTAAATAAATTTATGTAAAAAATGTACCTCGATGTCACCTCTATATCATCATCTCCAAACCAAAATTACCCTATACTTTGTTATCTATAAAAACGCAAATCTTATTTTCAGCAAAAACACTAATAAGCATAAGAACATGAAGTTGAACATATCATATTCTCTTGAAAGGAAAACATTTTTAAAAACCACAATTCTGAAGCTTTTTCTTGCATTATATCTGAAACAAAAATGAAAGGAAAGATGTCAATTTACTTTGCCTTGGAGATTCTGAATATGCTTTGACACAACAAAAATTTAGACATAAACTGGAAGAACTGGCCACTGAATTGACAGAAAATGTGTCATCAGCAGAATGAATCAATTTCAGCATGCAAGTGACTTTAAGAAGTCAGTTGAAAAGCAGTCTTAAGCAAAGTGATGGATGGAGACTCACAGGGAAGATTATACCATGATTCATGTAAAAGTATCTGTTCTATTCTTATCTTTCTAAAGAAACTTGCCATTGGCAATTCCTTTGTGTGGATATTTCTTGAGTCTTCCAACCTGTCTGTGCTACTCATGGGGCAGTAAAATGTTTTGCCTTTTTCCACACAGCATTATGACTCACACATAATATTAGTTATCCCCAGCTAATCTGTAATAGGACCAGAATAGTTATTAATACAATTTTTAAAATAGTGTATAGTAACAAAGAACAAGTTTAACTTCATCATGTCAAAGCTAACAAACAGAAAAGAGATTTCCCATGGCTTCTTCAAAGAATCTGAAATCTTTCAGATGGCTTGGTATTATGTAAATGAGTTTCTGTATTTAATAAAGGCTAGCTCTTTGACAAGATTTTATACTTCTTCTTCCAATATTATTTTAAAAATTGGAGAATATGTGCAGTTGGTCTCTTAAATTTGGAGCCAAACTAATATACTGTATTGGCCCCAAACTCTCATTCTTTCATTTGCTCATCCAATGAACCTCTCTGGAACACCCATCATGTGTCAGGTATTGTGACAAGTGTTGAGTTAGGTGCTAGACAACAATTTGAGACAGTTAACAAGACAGGTATGGTCCCAGCCCTCCTGAAGCAAACAGCCCAGGACCAGCACACTGTTTCCAAAATTGTGATGAGGCTACAGGGAGAGAGGTACAAGAATGTGGTCATACACAGGAGACAACATGAGTCAGATGTGTGGCAGGATGGAGCTGGAAGAAAAGCCTTCCCAGAGACAGGCATGTCAGACTCTAACTGAGGGACTGAACAACAGAAGGTTAGTCTGACAGTAGTTTGGGGTGCTCTCTCCACCCTTTTCCTCTAGGAAGAGGATGACCAGAAAGATGGGAAGAACAAGAGAGTATTTGGATTGAGAACAAGCATATTGAGAAGAGTGTGGTAAGAGAGGAAACGGGGCTGAATCAGGCAAAAACTTCCAAGGTATATTAAGGAAGTTGAATTTATTCTGGAGTTGAGAGGAAGTAATTGAAGGATTTTAAACAATGGAGTAAGAGAATCATATTTGCATTTTAAGGAAGACACACACACACACACACACACACACACACACACGTTACAGGGTAAGAAATAGATTTGTAAAGGTAAGACTAGAAACAGAAAAGTTGGTTAAGAGGCTACTGTAAAAACCTAGTTGAAAGAGGGAGGGAGCCCAGCTACAAGCAAGACAAGGACACCAGGTTGCCTGCTGGGATGATATTGAAAACCTCCACCTTCAAAAAGAGATAACATTCACAAGTCAGGTTTCTGTAAGAGCAATCTGCAGGTCTGAGATTTTGTGTTTCTGCAGTCCTGCTTGTGAAGCCATGCCTGTGGGCAATTTTTGATGTCTTTTGGGTTTCTGCTGTCCTGCTTTCAAAACAAATGTTAACACAAAGCATCAGAACAGAAAAGAGTTAGGATGCAACACGGTGGGGACAGTGAGAAGAAAAATGATTAGGTTCCTTAAATCTTCTTTTTCGTAGTGGAAAATACCAATATTCTCTAAATCAATGAATGTGAGCCTGTGGCGTTGGTGAAAGGGACATTGGTTGGAAGACAACAGGCAGGAAAGGGGGCCTGGAAAGACATCAGGAAACAGTCAGCAGGATGGAGGAAAATAAAACATGCTATCACCCAAGCCAGAGAAAAGGAACATTTTCAGCAGGGAGTAACTTCTTAAGAGCATAACAGTGGGTTGCTCGCTCATGGGCTATCACTGTTGATCATGTTAGGTGATGCTTCATAGGTTCATCACAAACATTTGTGAAGTAAATGATTAACGCAGTATGCACTGTTACAGTCAAGACAAAGACAACAAATTGGGTGCTGGGATGATATACATAAAATGACACTTCCTGCCTTCAAAAAATTTACAGAACAGTAGCAGGACAAATACAGATGTAATTATCCATGATGCGTGGGAGCCGATGGAATATATCCATAATTATACATCTATCCATGATGTGTAGCAGTTAATAAAATAGCTCAAGAAGGCTCAGATTGCTAAAGACCCAACAGAATATTAAGAGAAAGAACAGAAGAAAGCCAATGTTTCCAACAGTGAGGAAAAGAAATAGTAAGGCCAAGTGGAGAAAAAAATCAAAAAGGGACTATCGCAGACTTCAGGGGACCTGATAAGAACAGTTTCAGATTTGGCAAATCTGGTTTAATGAGGGGTGGCATTTGCTATCTTAATTGTTTTCAAAATTTCCAGGAATACAGTGTATTACCACAGGTTTCCAGCTCATGGATACAGCATAAAAGTCAAGAAGAGTAGAATTCCTATCTTTCAAATGAAGTGACCTCTTTATGAAATGGAGCTGTCTAACTTTTCTTTGCCACAGAGGGCATTAGCAAACCTGTGCATACCACCTTGCAAGTGCTCCACAAATAAGTAAATTTTATGAAGACAGCTTTACAAAGCTCTGTCTGTAACCTGTAATCATCTGCAAATGATAACTATATGGCAGTGTCTAAGCTTTCCATCTATGAGCAAGCTCTGCTATGAGAATGTAATCAAATCGCTCCACTGCTTAGCAATCACAGGTAAAGAGCTAATATGTCATGAGTCATGATTCCACAAGAACAACCTGCAGGTCAGTAGCATGGTTCCAGTGCCCTTTAAATTCCTGCTATCATGCTTTCAAAACCCATATTAATACAAAACATCAGAATAGACGAGAGTTAAGATGCAAACACTCCTAATCGATCAATTGACACACGCACGGCAAGATCCTGAACAATCTGCAGCATCAATCTGACATCAGCATCTATAAATCAACGCCAGAGCAAAAATTGCCCGCAGGCATGGCTTCACAAGGAATTTCTGCTTCACCCATTTAGTCAGGTCAAAGACTGAGGCACACATAAATGAATGTGAAGGTACTGACTCTGACATTCACCTAACAAATGGGAAATTATCTCAGGAAAAGGAGCACCAGGTGGTGGCACCGTCCTGGAAAGTCCTACCTGCAGCCACTGTGACTGGTCATTGTGGCCCGAGGTCCAGGCATTCACTTTGCCTTGTTTGTCCAGTCGAGCTTTTCTGGGCTCCCAGGTGAACATGTCCATGTTGAGCGTCCTGAAGATGCTGGAGGCTGTGATCTGATAGTCTTGGATGTGTCCCGATTTCATACCCAGAGGCTCAGAGCAGCCTGAAGGAAAATGAGGAGGGCTCCATGAGGAAAACAATTTATCACCCTGCAACTTGCCACGTTCATCTTGGATAGCCAAGAGGAGATTAAACAGAATGCTATTCATTCCCCCAAAGAGAGAGCAACTAAATTCAAAAAAGGGCTATAATCAGAAATAAATCTGAAACAAAATCGAAAAACAAGATAGTCAATTCAGGCTATTTGGTCTGAACATATTTTGGAAAAATTGAAAACAAGACAGCCAATTTAAACTACTTTTCTGTGATAGATGATTTTGTAAAATGAAAGCAGTGCTGAAATGCTCTCTCCTGTCTCATTACTGAAAGCCTCAAGACTGTTCCAAGGTTTTCAACAGTTTCATTGTTTCTTTAAAAATGGGACATTTTCTCACAGAGTATATTTGGTTTTCCTTTATTTGTTTTCATAATACTGCAAATGAAAATTCCCAAAGTATGAAGTCATTTTCACAAACGGCTCCACTGCTATGTTCCAAACTGGGCAGCATTTTGCTTTCCAAGAAATATGCTAATCTTTTATCATTGATTCTTATAGCACCGACATGACTACTTCTGGATGACAGGAAGCTAATATTTAGTCAGTGTAGACTATGTGTCAGGTACCATGCAAAGGCTAATAGATAATACAGGAAAATAGGCAAATTCTAGCAAAGACCATTACTAGACAAACTTTTATTTATTTTGTATTTTTTATTTATTTATTTTTTTTTTTGAGTTGGAGTCTCACTCTGTCGCCCAGACTGGAGTGCAGTGGCTGCTCCCGGCCACCGCAGCCTCGACCTGCTGGGCTCTGGTGATCCTTCCGCCTCAGTCTTCCGAGTAGCCAGAATTACAGGCATGCGCTACCACGCCCAGCTGATTTTTTTTTTTTTTTAATTTATTGTAGAGATGAGGTCTCATTGCCCAGGCAGGTCTCGAACCCGCGGGCTCAGGCAATCCACTCACCTCAGCCTCCCAAAGGCACGGGATGACAGGCTGAGCCACTGAGCCCGGCTACCAGACAAACTTTTAAATAAATTCTTATATTTAAATCATACTCAATAACCTATAAAGTTCAGAAATTTTTGAAAGATTCTCAAATCTGCCACATATACGTTTTTTCCCAAATAAACAAAATTTTAATTATTTGGTGCTGATATAGTATCTTTTTAATTTAAAATGAGACAAATCCTTTTGTAACATTTGCAGTTTTCTTTTAAGCCACATGACTCTATTATCTGTTTAAAGAATAATTTTTAAAATGTAAACATAAGAGCAAGCCTATAAAGCTGCTCCAACTGGATCCTAGATCCTCTGTCCCCAAGGGCAGCCCATTCTTGGTTCTTATGCCACATATACTTTGAAGTTTATTGCCTGTCCTTGAAAAATCATATGCATGTGCATGTTTGCGTGTGTGTATACACATATACAAACAATTTCCAAATCTTGAATTCCAACTGCAACAAAATTCCACTTACAAAGTTTTTAATAGCAGGTATGATTCTATCATTATATGAGCTAGTAGCTGAATATTGTATATGTGAAACTGTTACATTTTGACCAAGAAACTCACAAGATAAGTTTGATCACCAAGGAAGCAAAGATAAAACGAGGACACTGGTGCAACCTAATACCTTCTTCTCATACTCTATTGGTCTCCCACTTTCCAGCTGTGTGGTCTTGTATTGAGCCATTTTGTGGCTCAGTTTTCTCATTTCTAAAATGGTGATAACAGAAATGACTTTAAAGAAGTGTTCTAAGAAAATAGTTAACAATTATAAAGTACATAGAAGCATTGGGAGCACATAGGTAGCACACTCTGTATTAGCTATTATTATTTCCCTGAAACTCATTCCAACAGATAACAATGATATTATCTCCAAATAGCAGCATATCATGAGTCCTAAAGAATATCTTATGACCAGGTGCGCTTTTTAAAACTAGACCATTTTAGGGGTAAGCTCTAAAAGAGGTAGTTAGAGGTCTTCATTGATCAATAATTCTTTTTTTTATTTATTTTGAGTTGGAGTCTCACTCCACCACCCAGGCTGGAGTGCAGTGGCGTGCTCACAGACACCCCAGCGTCAACCGGCTGGGTTCTAGCATTCCTTCTACCTCAGCCTTCCAAGTAGCTGGAACTACAGGTGCACGCTACCACGCTTGGCCATTTTTTCGATTTATTGTAGAGATGAGGTCTCACTATCGCCCAGGCTCTTCTCAAATCCGTGGCTCAGGCAATCCCCTCATCTCAGCCTCCCAAAGTGCTAGGATTACAGGCTTAAGCCACTGTGCCCGGCCAATCAATAATTCTTCCAAACTGTTTTTGTACTGGTCGATCTAGATCACTTGATCACTTCTTTCTCCTTGATGGTCCTCTGTGATTGTCACCTCCACCTTCTAGGAAATGCCTACCCTAAGCAGAGACACAAATATGACATGAAGGGTTGTGTGTCGTAACACAAGTGAGTTTTGGCATAGAAGATGTATATCTAGAACCCCATGTTAAAGATAACTCTAAGACATACATGCAAGTTCAATGAATAAGTGAATGAGTATTCCTTTTCTTATTGTGGTCATAACCTATTTTTTCCAGAACATCTTAAATCATATCTCTTCCAGGGGTTTAGGAGATGATTTTTTAAAGTGTCTAGGAAGAGATGAACTGCTGATCTTCCAGGCAGGTTGAAAGAGCTCATAACAGCTTAGTGAATACAATAAGACAGCCCTAGGCTTTTCAGTGTTGCACTGGGTTGTGGGAATCATTTAGTACATTATATAACTGTTTATTTCCAAGAGTTACAGCTAACCTCTCTGGCAAGGTGCCTCATGCCTCAGATTTTATTTCTCATCCATATGATTTCATGCATATATATTAATTAAATCTTTTACCAGTATGAGCAGCACTTGAACCAAAGGAAGTATTAACAATTTAAAATTGCTGTTTCTATAGTGAAGTGTACCAGCTCTTAAAGGCATCCACTGAGAGATATTACTCTCTGCATGCAAGTTCAAAATCAATTTGCAGGGTGGGGAGATGAGACCCTGCTTCTTTTTGAGAAAATAAAATCTGTAAAGTGTCAGGTGTAACCTCTTGTCAAGCTTGAAAGTAAATATATTCACACCTTGGGGTGTAACTGTGCCGTGTAGGAAAGACTGACCCTCATGAATCAAAAGACTGAAAAATTGCGGAAGGTGCTGTTAAGCAACTAGAAATCCCGCGCTTGCAGCAGACCTCATCACATAGCGGCTGCCTCTTGATTGCTTTATGATGGATGGCTCAGAGATGACACTGGCCTGTGGTGATATAGTGACACATAATACAAACACTGCACAGCAATAATTCTGCTAAGATTTACTGGCAGTCAATAAGCCGGTTAGAATTACCAAAATAAGGAAAAAGATCTCTGTTAGGATAATTAATGGTTCTAAAACCATATGTCAGTTTCTTCAAAAAAGGCACCAATAACAGCAAATATGATTTCTTAAAATGTGTTCACTTATTTGGCCACAATACTCTAATTTTAAAAATGCAATAGGCTTTTTAAAATTGGTTATTTTTAATAGTGACTTTTATTTACTTAAAAATCATTTATTTTCTAGGCAGTACAAACAAATCTAAGAAAGGAAAAAGCTATCAAATATGTACTTAAACCTAGAGGTAACCTCTTGAAATGAATAAAAGGCTCACAATTCTACTTCTACAAAGACTTGTCCTCCTGTATTTAATTAAACGGTATTGTTTTAAGTTTGGTAAAGGTTTTCTTATACTTCAAGGTAGAGCACATGTGCGCTTGCAGTTTTCTTCACAGTTTGAACAAAGTAAGTTCAGGCCACTGTAGCAAAGAAAGTTTATAAATTTTGATGCCAAAAACATAAGCACAACCACCGAAATTATAACACAGTGAGATGCTTAGATCCAGTTTTCTATATAGTACAGGATCTAGCTATATCGAAATGGGGTCACTGTATGGTCTACTCATTAAGTCTTCTTTTTGATGTCTAATACTGATGCTTCTGGGGCTGCCTAGTAACAAGGGTTACTTAACTTTGAGTCCTCCCTTGAGTTGAATAACCACTATTTGTACAACAAGCAAGCTGTCAGCTAAGAATGAACTGAAAATAAATTTACAGTAGCCATCTAGGTATTGAAGTATTGTCCCTTTGGGAGGAATGATAAATTTACATGTTTCATCAAACACAACAAGAAAAAAAAAGCAAATTCTTATGGTAGATGGACAAAGATAAAGCATACTTTGCTTTACCATACAACTACAGTTTATGAGGTCAGGCAGAGTCCTGTTTTTACTGAACTTTTGTCACAAAACATAAATCAAAGTTACTGCCCAAAACAATGAGACACGTTTAAAATTGACAAAAACAATTCCCTTGAGAATTCCTTGTATTTTCTTTGACCACTCAGCAAAATACATTACTCTTTCAATATTAATTCTATCCTATAGCGTGTTTTAGAGCTTGTTTATCCTACACATAAACACACACTGGTTCTCACTGAACCATGTTGTAGTCATTTTATACCCAAAATACATCTTTGAATTTGCAGGTTAGTAGCAGGTTAAATATAGATATGCTTTTGGTTTTCTTTAAAGGTACAGATGTAGAAAAGATGAGACTCACCCGAGAGTTCACAGCCAAGAAGTTCCATTCGCAGAGTGCAATGCCTTCGGCAAACTTGGGGGTAGAGTCTCACGTACTGTGACTTTATGGGGGGTGTGAAAGAGTTGGCATATGGTGTATTGTTGTCAACATTTCCACGGAAAACCTGTGCAAACATACAATACAGAGTGTAAAATTAGTAACTGCAACAACTTTTTTTAACCTTATTTTCATATATTGACCCTACACCTTGGCCAAAATAATGCTTCAAAAATTGGATTAAATAATTTGGAAGCACAGAGTATTTAGGAAGCACCTTGCTATCAGCAGTGAATATAACTCATATATAAAATCCTAACTAAAGTTATAAAACATCTTGGCCTATGGCATAATCTCTATTCCACTATGATAGTCTTGTCAATTATAAGGCCAGTCCTTCAGAGCCAGGGGAGTGCTTCCTTCTTTTATTGAGAAATGGGTAATTTAAAGCCTTCAACTTAACTGGGTCTGTCTGTTCACTTTTTATTCAGTCCTTTTTTGGATGGAAATTCATTTTTACTAGAGCTTCATGATCATTCATTCTCTCTAATATTATAATCAGATTAATGATGCTTTAGCATTTGATTGTCAAGATGACATGTTTATCAATTAGTCCCATATTATTGGAAAGGGACATAGAATTCCAAAATATATATATATATATATGTATATATATATATATATATATGTATATATATATATATCTCCAATGAAAAACTGTTTCCCTCTCAAAATCAAGTACTAAAATGTGTCATTTTTTAATTCCTTTAAACCTTACTCTGTTAACCTATGTAAGCTAAAAACTTTGCGTTTTAGTAGGTAATTAAAAAAACCTTAATAAAATGTATTCATGTCTAGTACAATGCTTGGTTTTAAATGGGATGATGTGCAGTTTTTTGAGAAAAAAATGATAAAAGAATTAGAGTTGTCATAATAAAAGGATGAGAGATGTTAAATACTATACCCACTTCATCTAAAATATTTATTCTGCTAAATAACAAATCTTTTAAAATATGAAGTAAATAATGACATACACCTTTTCTATGACATCGGACTTTTCTTGTTTTTAAGATGAGATTTTTGGTCAGTAGTTATTTGATTAAGAAGAGTGCTAATCTGTAAAAGGTAAAACCGAAATTGAAAGCTGACTATTGTTAGAATAAAGCCTAATTGTCATTCAAAAGGCTAGACTACCTTGTGACAAAGTATTTGTAAAATCACCAATTAAAGCCTGAAAAAACCTTAAAAGTCAGTCACTGGACATTCATAAGTTGGAGAAATTTCTATACCCTTTTTCCCCACTGGCCCAATTAGAAACAAAAAGCATCAGTAATTAATTTCAACAACATGCGTCTTCTCCTGAAGACTTGTCATTTGATAATCAGTGTTTATCAGTGGGATTTTACTTTTAAATTAAACGTGTTAAGTCAGTCTTACCATGTCTTCATTGGTGCCTTTCACTTTGTACATTGCCCAAGTCTTTCCATCATTACTGTAGGCAATTTTGTAGGATTTTATATACTCTGGGCTTCCAATCCTCTTGGCTCCTTGAGTAATCACACCAGTAACTCTCATTTTTCTTTGCAAATTTATCTAAGGAGGCAAGAGATAACAAACAACCATCTTATTGCTTTCAGGATAACAATGCTAACAATAAAAAGCTGGGGGATGGAACAGTTTTATTTACTAGTCCAGATTAAAATGCCACAGAAAAACAATAATTTTCTTGTACTTTTTGCAGTTAAGTTTTTAAAACAAGTATATACTAAAATGTAGCATTAAAGTCTCTTTCTGTAATGGAATAATTTTTAAGTAAAGGAATATCGTGAGAGTCTTTCACATAGCAATATGTTCTAAAAATATGAGTATAGAAAGTATTTGGTTGGCTCTGATAGGCAGGCATGACTTAGTAAACTGAAAAATGAGAATATTCTCTTGTCAAAATAATCTTGTTGTCATTAGTATGAAACACTATTGTTAACATAACTATTAATGTATCTAAACTGATTAAGCTTCTAGACATTTCCATTTTAAATTAAACATGAAAATGTCACTGGGATTTTTGAGTACTAGAATTTTAAAAAGTAAAAATAATAAGAATAATGTCAAAAATAAAGCACATGTTTCTGCAGTTTCTGGATTTTTGTACTATAATCTTTGAGTACTGGTTTTTCATCAAAGAAATGCTTTTCTCTTCATTTTATCTTATGAAAACTTTCTAACTGGTATTTTTGCTCCATATTTTCTCCCCACTCAAGATTACTTTAAAATAGTTTGCTATATGAGCAATAACCATCCAATAATTTAAAAAAATATCATTTAAGTAGAGATTTTTTTTTGACACTCAACCTAAGAAGTCAATGTAATATTACAATGTAGGAAAAATGTTTTATTCATATAGGATAAATATTAAAATTTGCTCCATTCACTTTAATGCCTATAGAATTTTAAACTTAGTAGAAACTCACGGTTTCAAAGTTCTTAATAAATTGCTACAGAGAGCCCATCTCCACCTATACAAATCAGAAAACTTTAAGTGTGTCATACCATAATGCTAAATTAATAACTCAGGGACTATTTTCTGGAGAAAACCAGAAAGGCTTCAGGTTCATGCAAGTGATGCAGATTTTCCTCTCTAGGACTGGACTTGGAGAGTATGCATTTGAAATGGCCAAGGAGTATAGGATGGAAACCATCACTCTCTCAAAGTCCCTTCTTTGCATCTTCCTGCTCTAAATGTCCTGAAGTTCCGCCCACCCAGCTGCTGTTCACAAGGCGATTCTCCTCCTGACTCGTGTAAAAAGAAAACCTGGAATGCTGAAGAGTTAAAGAACTGGGGTGGGGCAGTTCCTAGCTCTCACTGGCATGCATTCTCTCTCTCGCACTTTTGAAATACAACATTTTTGTTTTAAAATTCTAGGTGGAAGATCCTTTTTATTCTTGAACAATGCTGAGTGGGTTGATTCTGATATCTAATTTTATACTTCACTCAGTTCAAAGCTCAGATATTAAAATAATTAAAATCACGAATACATTTCAAGTCCCACCTATGCTTGGAGGCTTGAAAAGAGAATATGGCTCTTGAATGCCACTTTTACTTACTACTTTTGATATTTATCTATATGTATCTCCACTGGTCCTCTAAAGGTTGACTGTGGAGCTTTAACTGTGTGATTTGGAATAGAGAGCCACTGGAAGACTTTATTCCAGCACATTAGGTAAATTAGCACTTTGCTCTGGAAGAGCAAAATTCTTCAGTATCTTATATATGGCATTTATTTTCTATTTTAAATCTGAGACTCTTCATAGCTAGAACCTTTCCAATACATACAACACAAACAGTGGACACACTGAATCATGTTTCCTCCCACATTGAAAGCCAAGTTTCACATTTGATGTCGCTGAGCATTCCTTTTCCAATTATCTTTTATCTCATTTCAATTATCTTGTTTATACCTCTTGTAGACGGCCAAATTATCTCTGCTAGAGTTCTGGCTGATGAGCTATGAGCTAATTTTCTACAGTTTAGACTGCAGAAGTACAACAGGATAAAAAATGAAAATATGAGTTAATGCTTGTTGTAAATCATTAGAAATCATTTTTTAAAATTCCTATTTGCTTTAATATTTAGGAATTCTGAATATCCATTTTAGGGAGATGGAAGTTCAGATAGTAAAACATCACCGAACTTGGGCTGTCTCTATTTTTAGTAGATATTTATAATTAAACGTTGGTGCTATTTCCATTAAACACAAAATAAAAGTCAAAAAATTATTTATAGGATACAGGGTTTAGGTCACTAGGTTTCAGTAGTTACTAGGTTTGTGGTCTTTTGACTGCTTATGCATTTAGCACTATTAAGTTAGGATAATAAGAAATTCAACATAAAGAAGCTAAGACTTCACCATCATGGTCTTATTCAAATTTAATGCCAGGAATCTGTTGCTGTAAAAAATAAATTGAGCCTCGGAGAAGAGTATAGCATGACTTTACAGACACCTCTACCAATACGTCTTGCAAGTAATTCCTTTCATCTCATTGCAACATTGTTTTGTGATGTTGTAGTAAATTAAGTATGGCTTAAAGGTGGTCTTAGGCTTGTTGTGCCAGTATGAACCATTCCACATTCTGCATACTAGGTTAAAGGTGTACTGAGGATCGCATCAGAAATTCCTAAATTATCCTCTGTGAACTTGATGAATGCTTGGATATGCAATAAAATATTTTCATTTATGTATCTCATTTCAGATAAATTATTGTTCCACTGGGTGGTAGGTACACTGCATAACCTTTTTTTAAACAAAAAACATTTTAAGGCATTTTGAGAGAATGTTATTCCCTACATAAATATAAATAGAAGGAAGAATGATCTCTATCTAGAATACCTAGAACCTATGCTAAGGGTAGGCAGAAAGTAGGAAAGGTGGGGCTCAGGCCTGATTTTCATCACTATCTATATAATCTTGAACAATCTAAGCTTTTTGAAATTTAATTTTGTCCCTTGTATAAGGAGTTTTAATAAGTGTGTTATATGTAAAGGTTATATGATACATGTATGTAAATATTAGTAACATCTGTCAAGTAGAAAGCTCTTACAGCATTTGCTTTTGGGTTTGTTTCTTAGTTTTCTTTAAATGAAAAGAAACATTTCTTTTATATCTTCTGACCTTAATCACTTAAGGTTAGAAAATTTGGGTTCTGAGAGGTGTATTTATTTATTACCTTATTATTTGTTTATTTAATTTTTTTGAGTTAGGGGGCTCACTCTTTTGCCTAGGATAGAGTGCAATGGCACCATCACAGCTCACTGCAGCCTGAACCTCCTGGGCTCAGGCAATCCTTCTGCCTCAGCCTCCTGGGTAGTAGGGACTACAGGCACATGCTACCCTCTCAGCTAATTTTATAATTTTTTTTGCTATGTTGCCTAGGGTAGTCTTGAACTCCTGAGCTAAAGCAATCCTCCTACCTTGGCTTGCCAAAGTGCTGGGATTATAGGCATGAGCCACTGCACCAGACTGAGAGGTTTATTTATAAAAGCTGATGATCATGTATGAAGAGAACTTAGCAAACTACTTCTAAAGCTATGTGCTATGAAGACACTTAAGGCTACAATGATTAAGTGTGTGTGGGTGTGTGCATGGGTGTAAATCTAACCATTAGCTTAAACATGGTGTGGGAGGGATAATTAATAGGCTCTTGATGAGACAGTAGCTGGCATGGGCAACTGGCCCTCGTCCCGGTGTCCAGCGCTGCAGATGCTCTGGGACAAAAAGTTGCTGAATAGGCTTTCAGATTTATCAAACTTGAACACAAAAAGCTATGGGAAAGTGTTAGTGTGACAGGAACTTCTGAGATCCCAATGTATGATTGTAAGTCTAGGGTGTGTGGAGGGAAACTCCAAGGGCTCATGATGTTTATCAGGTTGGAAAAGAACTTTCTAGATGTGCCATTTCCCCTTCTCATTCTCATCTTGCTTACCCGAGCCTTTCTGACCTACCCAGTTCAAGGCTACCACCAGGAAGGCAGTTGTGAAATGTGGGGCCAAGTTAGGGGAAGCACTGGCAGTCACTGTTAGGCCACCATCCACAGGGAGGCAGTGGTGAAATGTGGGGCCGGGCCAGGGAGAGCACCGGCAGTCACTGTCAGGCCACCACGAGGAAGGCAGCGGTGAAATGTGGGGCCAGGTTAGGGGGAACACTCACAGTCAATGGAGCATTTCACCCCCTGCTCTCCTCATTTCTCTTTGTAGAGTAAGAAGGTAGGACAGGGAGATAGAAGTCCTAGAGAGAGCAGTATCTGGGACAAAGGAAGGCCTCTTTAGGGAAAAGAGGGCACTGAGTTGAGGACAGACAACAGCTCTAACCTGAGGTCCCTCTGCACACCAGCTCAATCTCCAGAGTAGTGCCAGCTGGGGCTCTCTCTAGGTACCCTTTGGGTCTACAACTAGCCAAAGATTTTTAATAACAAAGTCTGCAGGAAAGCAAGCACCATGATCAAAGGAAAAAAGTAAACAGAACTAATACTAGAGAAAACAAAACCAAAACTAATCTAATAGAGAACACATTCAGATTTTAACATAAAAAATTCTGAAAATCAAAGAAGTGTTCTTAAAGCATAGGACAGGACAGGAAAAAGCATAGGACAGGACAGGAAAAAGCATATAAATAAGAAACAATCGAATATATTGAACATGAAAAATGAAATTGTGTAAATAAAGTTTTCCATGGGGTGGTTTCAATAGCAAAGAGGCAAAAAGATAAGGCTGAAGAATGAAGGAGTGAGCAGCAAGAAACCCTTTCCACAAGGTGAGAGGATGAATGTGACGATGGCTCGTATTGACAGATAATATAATTAACATTTACTTTGAAAATTCCAAAGAAGTGACAAATAGTAAAAATGAATTCAAAAGTTCGGCAAGTTTGCTTAATGTAAGATTAACATACAACTAATCTATACCATCAATTATCAACTGAAAATGTAACATATGTAATTAAAATAGTGTGATATTGGCACAGGTGAAGGCAGAAATATAAATAGAAAATCAATAAATATACTCTAATATGTAAAAAACTTTTATATAAAAAATGATATTT